TTAACTTTGCCGTTTATTTTTCAGTTAAATGCTGACGTGACTTGATTTGAACCCATTTTCTATTAAAAAATTATTAAAAACTAAAAAAAAATCATTTAATAATTTTTAAATATTAAAATAATAATAAATAAAAAACCCCTCACGTCCCCTTTCCCCAACCCCCCCCCCCGGGTCTCTCTCTTCTCCCCCATCTTCATCTTCTTTCTCTTCCAACAACCCAGAAAAAAGAAGAAGAAAAAAAAAACCAATTTATCTTCCCCTCCCCCCACTCGCGATTTTCCCCGACCCCCCTTCCTTTCTTCCCCCTTTCGTCTTCCCTAAACCCGCACCCACCCTCGCACTCACTACAGCAACCCAAAAAAAAAAAACCCAGGAAAAAACCCAGTTCGTCTGTCCCGCCCCCCCCACCCAACCTGCAGAAGAAGAAGAAGAGAGAAAAGGGGAAAAAAAAAAAAAAAAAAAGGAACCCAGTTCGTCCTTCCCACCCCCACCCCTCCCCCCCCCCCCCGGGGCACCCACCCTCTTCCCTCCACACCCATTCCCCCCATTTTCTCCGTGCCCAGGTTCTTAACCTTCGAAATCGGCCTGGCGAAGGTTTCCCGATTCCATCTCAACGGGATCTGGGTTTTTTTTTTTTTTTTTGGGGTTGCAGGTAGTGGGTGCGAGGTTGGGTGCAGAGAGTGGGTGCGAAGGTGGGGAGGTTAGGTGCGGGGAGAAGAGGGGGTGAGGAGCGGGGAAGACAAATTGGTTTTTTTTTTTTCCTCTTCTTTTTTCTGGGTTGCAGTTGCAGGAAGGGGGAAGAAGATGAAGATGGGGAGAAGAGAGAGAAGGGGGGAAAGGGGACGAACTGAGTGTTGGTTTTTTTCAATTTTTTTAATTTTTTATATATAACTTTTATTTATTATTTTAATATTTAAAAAATATTAAATGATTTTTTTTAGTTTTTAATAATTTTTTAATAGAAAATGGACCCCAGATCAAGCCACATCAGCATTTAATTGAGAAATTCACGGCAAGCTAACGAAAGGTATAACATTAGCACAAATTCTAAAGATGAGGTATGTCATTGTCAATTTTAAAAGATGAAGTATGAAAGTATCGTGACACTAATAGTTGAGGTAGTTTTTTGTACTTTATCCTAAATTTTTTGTATATAAATATAGGACTTTGAATCCTATGAAATTCTCAAATAAGAAGAAGATGTTATAGTTTTAACAAGTTACACGCCATTTTGATGTTTACCGGTACTAGCTTTTAGGCAAAATTTTAATATTACTACATATTAACATTTATATATACAGATGAATAGCGATTATGACACAATCGACACTTCCAGTTCGGTTTTTTGACACACGATAAATGTATAAAAATAATAAAACACACATGCCTAATTCAACATATCTAACAAGCTAGACACATAGTAAATAATAAATATCCCTATTGGCCATGTGTCTCTATAGCATCCACAACTTTTGTTATTTCTCTATTTCTTGCAATGGATCAAATATGACATGTGATTTCTTTTTATGAAGACGGAATGATCAACATTGTTTCTTTGGAAACCATTCGATCTTCGTCATAACCAAACTTCATATCTCGAACCAAGTCCGAGGAGACTGCTGGATGCGTCAACATGAAAAAGGACCATATTTCTCATTCAATATGGTGTATATTTTCTTTATGTTGAAGGCTACCCCCATTGAATCAGATTCTTCTGTAACCAGCCCTTTATAGCTACATCAAACCAGTTCATCATCCATTGTTCTTGGACGCTGGCTTTGCTTCAGATGACTCATGACACTCATTACAATCTCATCCATATACTAGGATAGAATTGAGAGTTCTGGTACTATCTACAGTATCTCATAAAAATAGACGTGTGAAAATCATTATTTGTATAGGGTGTGATATTCACACCCTTTTAATTTTCGGCCGTTGGATCAAATGAATTGAAGAAAATCAATAGATATAAATCAACAAAAGATGTGTGAGAAGTAAAAAATGATGTGTGGATAGCACACCCCTATTCGTATTCCTAAGATGAGTCGGAAAACTCTAAGTAATATCCACAATGTCTGTTGATAGAATTGTTTTAGTTATAATCCATTGTGATCACCAAAAATATTGAATAGCTACTTTCCTGCCCAACAATCTAATGTCATACAAAAAAAAAAAACTTACAAATAACATTACATTATTACATCAAAACATCACTATAACTATAAACTCAATGCATAAGTCATTCTCAAGGCGCGAAACTTGCCTGGCTAGTTCCGGACACTTCAGTCTGGATAGGCCCGTTTCATGTGCACATCTTCCCTTCAATCTAATCCCGAATTTAGTTAATGTGTATCGCACCTAGGAGTCCCCCACCGATGCATCGTTATCATGCATGGTGTCTGTACGTCACTTCAACTGTCAACAATTGTAATATGCTAGGGCATGCATTCAATAGATTTAGCCATCTAGGGTAATGGAAGCGCCATGTGGCACACGACGAAGACTTCGATCGGTACATGATTAAGCTTGTTAATCAGATATTGAGCTCCGTAGAAGTACACACGACTCTGGCATTCCCTGTACTTATCCTATAACTTGGGTAATTAATGCTTGCCAGGCAAGGTTGGAACAACTTTGGAGCCTTTCTATAACGTATGAATTAATATAACATTTGATTTTTTTTTTTTTGACAAAAAATATCGTTAGCTAGTTTGTGGGAGAGTCATGATTTTTTAATAATGAAGTCATGATTTTAATAAAAAAATAACTTTATTGGAGCATTTTGTTCAGCACATGGTAGACTTGTCGATTCTTGTTAATATATGCCAACAACTTCAATGATTGTTGAAGGTGGCAATCGGATAATTATGGAGTAATGTTGAAGATTGACAATGTTTGTCAACTAAAATATTTTATCAAGTATTTAGTGTGCACAATAGAGTTGCACACAAGAAGAAAGAAGGGAAAGAGAAGGATGATAAAAAAAAAAAAAAAAATAGAAGAAGCAAGAGGAGAAGTTTGTAATTTAGTTTGTCCTAACTGTTTATAGGGTCAAATACAATACACAAATATACATGGAGTTTTTTAAGTTGTTGAGATCACATACAACCAGTGACCCATGCTGTCTTCGCCACTGGCGCTAACGGGTTAAATTGTTACTTGTTAGTAAGAGGGAGATCGGTAGAAAAAACTCGCATCATGATATATAAATATGATTCTTTTTTGTCATTGCACTGTGGTATAATTGTCAAACGACCCTATATTTTTTTATTGATAGTTTCTGAAATTTAGGTTTGTGTTTCGAGTGCATGAGCAAAATGCCATCTTCATGTCGCCATATATGCCGATGCCATAAAGCCTGTAAAAACATATGAAGTTTCTTTCTGCAAGTTGTGACATATTTTTCTCACATCTTTTGCTACAAGTAAGCTGGACTACGTAGAAAAAAAAATAATAATAATAATGAAAAAAGTTTGAAAACTTTGAGTTTTAACGATAAAGATAAAATAAAGAGTAAAGTGAATAGTACTAGAATTGACTTTTTAATATAAAAATGTGGCCGAAATGAAGATTTGTTAAAATAATCAAAATTAAATAACAATGACATATTGATCGAATATTAATGAGGTTATCGATTAGATTTTGATGACATTTTAATAAAATTTTGAAAAATAATTATTTCAATGATTGAGATTTGTGTTTTAATCATTTCAGCTAATTTCACGTTTAATTTTGACCAACAATATCCATATGAAACATACCATTACCCAATAACTCCAGTTCTAATCAGAAGTCAACCATGAGGATAATCCCCAATTGGATAAACTAATACTACCAATTGGATTAGTTGCTTGAGGTCAGGTACATGTCAAAGTGTTATCCAGAGACAAGCATGCCGTTGCTACATGATCAGGAGTCATATCAGCCATGATTAAAGTTGGCTTTTGGTTTTTGTTGAAACTACACACATATATTTGTGAAAAATCATCCACAAAACACCATGCTAAACATATTCCTTAGGTGGTAATTACCTTTTTTCTCTACTCAATATCAATATTAGTGTAATTTGGTGTTCACGTTATAGAATTCACCAATTGTATATCTTCATTTTTTGGTGAGTGAGATACGCACATAATTATATATTCTCGCTTCTGCTCATGGCAATGTGATTTTCAAATTTGTCATCCTTCCACATTTATGTTTTTTTCGTTTCATGTTTGATGTTTCCTACTTCTCTTGTGCTACGTGAAGTTTTTAAGTCAGAATGAACGGACCATGTGACCATATAATTAAACCCACAAAAGAGTGAGAGACTGTAAAGTTGAAAGAGTGATGTGTTTCGTGTTTTTGAGACTTCAACGATACCACCACGTGATCTGTTCGTCCTGACTTAAGAATATTCATTACAAACAAACAACAACAACAAAGCTTTATCCCACTAGGTGGATTTGGTTTTGTATGAATTCTAGAATGCCACTGCGCACTATTTTGCATCAAGTTTTCCGTTAGCTTCATATATTTTCTTATGTCTTTTTCCAAGTCTTCCCAGATCTTCCTTTATCCCTTTTGACTTCAGTCTTTGTCTCATAATCGCATCTTCTAATTGAAACCTCTATAGGTCTTAAGCTCAGGTATCTAAATATTTTTTCGCTTCTAAGAACACACGGGCCACCTCGTTAATGCCAACTAAATGAGAGAACCATCACACTCCAAGCCTTATCACACATGATAGAAATCTATTGTCCTAAAACAACATATGCTCGCCAGTCAGTCCTGCATAAAACGCAAAGCTCCATCGCATACAAAAACAAACCTGTCACAATTTCCATCACATTTCTCACCCAAACCAACAAAATGCTGCCAATCTTCTTCCCTCCACACAAAGATTTTGATAATCCCTTACCAATATAAATACCACAACACCCCTCCACAATCCACTCACCACTCTCCACCTAATTCCCATCGACTTCAATCCTCCCCCAAAAATTTAACAGTCAAACATGGTCGGCACCACCATCCTCGACGCTCTCAACGTCCGGGTCGTTGGCTCCGGCGACAAGTACGTCGTCTTCGCCCACGGCTCCGGCACCGACCAGTCGGCCTGGCAGCTCATTCTCCAGTACTTCACGCCATACTACCGCGTCATTCTCTACGACCTCGTCTGCGCCGGCAGCGTCAACCCGGACTATTTCGACTTCCGCCGCTACACCACCCTCGACGCCTACGTCGACGACCTCCTCAACATTCTCGATGCCCTCGGCGTCAACCGCTGCGCCTATGTTGGCCACTCCGTCTCTGCGATGATCGGCATCCTAGCCTCCATCCGCCGCCCCGAACTCTTCTCCAAGCTCGTACTCATCGGCGCTTCCCCGAGGTAAAATTAAAATTCGCACATTTTCTCAAAAGCTAGAAATTTCTTCAAATTGTTAATACCCAATTGGATATTTCATCCGAATTGAAGAACCCAATTGTTTAATTTTTTTTTTATTTAGGTTTCTGAATGATCGAGATTACCATGGAGGATTCGAGCACGAGGAGATTGAGAAGGTCTTTTCGGCAATGGAGGCCAATTACGAGGCATGGGTCAACGGCTTCGCGCCGCTGGCAGTTGGGGCCGACGTCCCGACAGCGGTTCGAGAATTCAGCCGCACCCTGTTCAACATGCGACCCGACATCTCGCTTTTCGTCTCTCGGACCGTGTTCAACAGCGATCTGAGGGGTGTTTTGGGGCTGGTCCGAGTACCGTGCTGGATAATCCAGACGGCGAGGGACGTGTCCGTGCCGGCATCGGTGGCTAACTACCTGAGGGACCACCTGGGCGGTCGGAACACGGTGGTGATTCTGGAGACGGAAGGGCACTTGCCCCATCTGAGCGCCCCGGGTATGCTGGCTCGGAAGCTTCGCCACGCCCTCGCGTCGTAGGTGGGGCCGGCCGGAGGGGAGGACTAGCTGCGAGGCGAAGTTTTTTTCACTCCGACGGGAATAGCACAGGAGATGAGAAATTTTATTTTTTAAATTATTAACTTTTTATCACACATATTTTACTATTTGTATAATGATACGTGAAATATTATTCCGTGTAACGTGTACCGATCAATCGCATTGAAAAATCTTTTCTGCTGGACGGGTGCAAGGGGGCGAGGTAATTCGCATGGAGATAGCGACACGTGGTCCAATACCTGTGGACATTAGTTCTTTTGGAGCGAAACTAGCTTTGGAAGGATAAGAATCTCCACGTGAATATCACGTGATGACGTAGCCCTCTTTTGTCAATTGGCGATGGCCCAATTCTCCTCCTTTTCTTCTTCCATTGTTCTTGTGCTTTACGATATTTCTTCTTTGGGTTGGAATCTTTGCTTTAATTCTGCAATTGTACTCGACTTCTTATATCCAGTTTTTTCCTTTTCACTTTTAAAAATATGTTCTCTTTGCTCCAAAATATGATTGTGTTTCTTCTTGAGGAATATGATTGGTTAACGGAAAGATATTGTCGACATGATTGAGAGTAACAATTTGCGAAAGAAATTTGTAGCTGAAGTGGTTATGCACTTCAAATTCCAAAGATTTCTCATTTCCCTAGTTTCATTTGTATAAGAAGAACGAAGACAAGTGAAATATTGATACAATAAGTAATTAGATCTATCTACCTAAATTATACATGATAACTAGAGATTATGAGGAAGGTTATCCGCCACCATTATTTTTTTCCTCTTAAACACGAATCAACTGACAATGTGAAGCAAGTCCTTACAAGATCGAATGGAGCTATAGAGAAGATGATACGATGAGCATCGAATTGTGCGTATCTATTCTTCATATACAAAATTCGTTCCAATGAAGCTAATAATGGGAAGAAAGAACACAATTTCATTGCGGGGGACTTGTAGTTTAGCAGCTTAAGATCATTCATTCTAACACTCGATGTTCCGAATTCATTTCTCCTCTCCCAATTTTTCTTGTATCAAAATAATAACCCAACCCGTCTTGTTCGTATCCTGTTAATATTCTTAGGCTAGTTTTTCCTTTTGGGCTTTTATTTGTAATTATTCATGTGTAAGAGCATCACTTGTAGTCAGAGCCCAGTCTTGGAGTTTCCACAGACAAATTAACCCAGTCCATGGGGTGTGGTTGTGAAAGCCATCTAATTGTTGCGTTACCCTGTTGGGTTTACTAATTATTTTTTCTTTTATTTTTTCATTAAGAACGATAGATACACACGCTTTTTAGCATCTCACGTACTTTCAATGGTTGCTTCATTTGATTTATTCCCTCCAATGATTTTAAACAAGAGGGGTGTATGATAAGCTCAAAAGGATGTGTGAAAATTAGTTCTCATTTCATTTTGGGATCATTTGGGATTGGACAATGATCTCTTTCAATTCAACCAATCGGATGATCGAAAATTGAGAAGGGTGTCTGAGAAGCAAAAATGAGTGTATGACAGCACGACCCAAAAAATATGGTCAATACAAGGAATCTAACCAATATATTTCAGTAATGAAAATTGTTGTTTGCATATAAAAAAACTGATTTTGAATTACTTAAGATGTAACACCATTTTGTTCATGTCACTTAGTACAACAATTTAGTAGAATTCATCTTTACTTTGTAAGTGAGAGGTTTTAGGTTCGATTCTCGTCAAATGCGAATTTGAACCACATTATTGTTTGCCCCTTGTGATGCTAAGCTCATCTTTTCTCTGTTAGTGTATATAATATCGTTTATTAAAAAAAACACCGTTTTGTTCATTTGTCAATAAAAATAAGATGACTTTGTATCTGAAACTATTATAACATAAGATATTATCGAAAAATTAGATGGTCGCCTGCCCAAAATTTAGCAATATTTCACGGCTTTAACCAAGCTTTTTTTTATTTTTTATTTTACCCCCGCAGATCAAATTTGATTACGCATTTGACAATTGAACGATGTAACTTGTATGTGCAAAGTTAATGGGAAGCTTAGAGGAGTAACCAAAGTCAACTAATTAACCTACTAATCATGATTAACATATACTAATACAGAATAGCTTGTCGAAAGCAGAATAAAACACAAGTTAATTATGATCTTATAAGCTGAAGCTTTTGTGTGGTCAAAATTGGGTGCCAAGAGTTTCCAAAAAAAAAAAGGGTGCCAAAAGTGGAGAGAATTTGTAATGGGGTCCGGGACGTAGCGCGTAAGGTCATTTGTTATTATACAAGTTGAAGAATTTTTTTTTAAATGTTCATATACTCATATAATGACATATTACGTATATGCCTGTATTCCTAATACACTTAAAATTTTCTCAACAGAATCCCATTTGATCCCAATTTTTTAAAGAGTGGGTGGGTAGAAATAGCAAAGTAGAGGGCACAGATCCTCACACCCTCGGATGACTCGAGCAAGACCTGGTCAGTTTCGAACCACCCATGAGCCCAGTGATGCAAACAAATAAACCACCAAAAAAAAAAAAAAGGAACGTCACACCCAATTTTCTCAAAAATGCTGGTCCAACTTAATTATTTTTGGGTATGAAAACGAAATTGGAAATTATGATTAGTTAGGCTGCATGGAACCGGATCCCCTCCAGATTTATAGGAATTGAGTCCAAGAATCAAATGATTCGGACCATTAAAATTTGATTCAACGGCTATAAATAGAAGGTCCCTTTAAAATTATAATAATTGTAACCGTTGGATTAAATTTCAATGGTCCAGATCATTTGATTCTTAAATTCAATTCTTTTGAATCCGGAAGAGACCCGATTCCTAACTGCACGGAGATGGACGACTTAGTGAAGTGATGTGAAAGCTTCTTCGTCGCAAGGAACCGAACGTGCAAGCAAATGGTGATGTAACGGAACAAGTTGGCTTCTCCTTGAGCTCATGTTTTAGGTCAAATTTTCAATGTACCAGTAATATGGCACAGTACATCAACTGTCATATTACAACTAGTTGAATTTTTTTTTTCTTTCAAATATCTATGTCGACTTGTATAGTTTCCTATAATTTAGGATTCCCTAGTTTAGAATGGATCCCATGTAATGTGGAAGAAAACTCTTTGTAATCTCCTGTAATTATTTTTTCCTATTTGATTAGGATTAATATTATATATTATACATTTTCATGAGAATAATAAACATATCATTCAAAACATTCTCTTCTTCCCAGCAACAGAGTCTAGGTAAAAAAAAAAGGCTACGCGCTATGCGCAGAACACAACTTAAATCACGCACCAGTTGTGCTATGCTGTAGAACCAGCGAGCGTCGCCGTCGTTGTTGACCCGAGTCCACCACCCCAATCCCGTATCCATCACGATCCATTGTTGCATCAAGCCCAGATCGAAGCTCGCGTGCCCCGTAGCTCACGAGCCGACATCGAATCATCGCTGCTGCAATACCAATGCCAACCCAGTTGTCGATCCGCTGCTTCTACTGCTGAATCGACGAGAACACCTCGCCTGAAATCATTGATGCACAAACTTATCTGACTGAAATCAATTTGACCCACGTCACCATCTTGATCTAAATCCGCGCCTACCGCCGCAGTCTGAAATTGAAATTGAACCCGCTACTGCTTCCCATCTGCACTTGCGCTTGTTTTGGAAAACCCCAGGATGAAGAAAAAAATGGGTATTTTCTTTTGCAACGTGGAAGGTTGTCCCACCTTCTACTTGAAGCCACGTTATTCACCATACTTTACGCTACAATTTAAAGGCCTGCAATGAGATCAAACCAAAGGAAGATATTTCGACTCTTGGTTCGTTCTATTGTCCACCCAACAAGTGCTCTCACTGTAGTTTGAAAGGGGATTCAAAAGATTGTTGTTTCAAACTTATTGGCTATTCTGTTAATTGGGACAAGATTCGTGATCCCTGTTGTAATAAGTCGCGTGCATTAATTGTTGAAACTAATTTACATTCTGAATATACAGTTAACGATGGTAAAGCTTTAAAGGTTTCTGCATCGGTTACAAATAATACATGGATAATTGATTATGATGCTACTGAATATATAACTTGTGATTCTAGACAGGTACAAACCCTAAAACCATCCCCCAAAACTGTTGTGAGTGTTGCCAATGGTAATGTTGTCCTTATTATTGGGGAAGGCGAGGTCTCACTTTCTAATGCCCTGAATCTTGATTATGTACTCGTTGTTTCTTCTATTGACTATAATTTATTATATGTTGCTCAAATAATTGTCGTCCTACATTGTCTTGTGATTTTTTGGCTTTTTTTTTGTGTTTTTACGGACATTCGGACACACAAGACGATTAGTTATAGTATTGGGAAGAGGAAGCTTTACTACTTTGAGCTGATATCGAACAGTTCCCGAATGTTGACTCAAGCTCTTGCAGTGGAAGGAAATCAAGGCGATAGGAATAAAGCTTTGTAGATTTGGTTGTGGCATCGTCGACTTGGACATGCTTCGTTCGGCTATATTCAGAGGTTGTTTCCTAGCCTATTTTTTAAGCATGATATTTTTAACTTTAAATGTGGTGTTTGTGAAATGGCTAAAAGTCATCATACTTCGTCTTCGCCTAGTTTGAATAAAAGTTCAATCTCGTTTATGATAATTCATTCTGATGTTTGGGACCATTTAAAACTGCTACACTTGGTGGTGCTAATTGGTTTGTTACTTTTATTGATGACTGCACATGTATGACTTGAGTTTGTTTAATGAAGTCCAAAAGTGAAGTTACTTCTTTGTTTTAGTAGTTTTACAAAATGGTATAAGTACAATATAAGTCACAAATACAAGTTCTCAAGAGTGACAATGGTGGCAAATATGTAAACTTTGAACTTCGTGTCTTTCTTGATCATCATGGTATTGTTCATCAGATTACATGTCCATATACTTCACAACAAAATGGTGTTGCAAAACGCAAGAATCGTTAGCTTCTAGAGGTTGTTCGTGCTTCTTTGCTAGAGGCGCATCTACTATTATCTTTTTGGGGAGAGGCTCTGACCTCAGCTGCATATTTCATGAATCGTGTTCCATCCCGATTAGTCGACTTTCAGACACTGCTCCAGACTTTCTCTTCATATGTTGATGCTCATACAATTCCTAATCTTCCACCTCACGTGTTTGGAGGTATGGCTTTTGTTCATCTTCATAAACAACATAGAAGTAAGCT